CGTTACTCGATTTATGTTCAAATTTAGTGCTTTATTGCTTCCATGAAATATTAAAGGATGAACAGTCATAACAATGAAGATTGGTGCTAATTTTCGTTTCGGGCTATTTGTAAAGACTAATTGCATGCAGTTATAATTTAAAGCCAACAAATATCAAACATATGTTTCTATTGCACTTCCAATCAGCAATTAAAGAATTTTTAGAGCATAAAATTTATTTTGAACTTCCGGTCACGCAGGAGGTCTTAAAAAACTTCCAATTGCATTTTAATTCCTAGCAAAATCTTCCAAAAGATCCTTTGGTTAAAATTTGAGTAGCATGTTGAACACATGTAGAGGCACAAAATCCAACAACATGAATTGCATCATAAATCAAATATTTCTGAGCCACCCTCACTCGTGTCATTTTAAACTATTTAAAGGAACTAAAACCCTTCACATGACAATTTTTCATCACATTTTAAAAAGTCGCGTGTAGCTTATCATCATGTTGACATCAATTGAACGATGTCACGTGGACATTCTAAAGAATGTTAAATCCAATGAATACGAAATGAGAGAAGGTGCTTTTCATTACCTTTTGTTTTACTTCTTGTCATGCCGTGAATCTCTGATTTCTATCAGAAAACAAAAACAAGAACTTTTTAAAAAATAAACAAAGATTTTTGACTTCGTGAGAATTCTGGTCTTCCTATATGCTTCAATCTCTTGTTCTTTGATGATTTGCCGAATTTATGATCATCATTAACTGCTGATTACAATCAAGGCGCACATAAGTGCGACGATGCATTCAGCTGCTGATAAATTCTAATTTTTATTCGATTCTCAATAATTTTCGTGTTCAGTTTAAATTGAGAAATTGGAAGCAATAACAGATGAATAAGAACAACATGAAAAGGTGCTCAATTCTGGTGCAATATTGGACTTTAATGATCGATTTAATAGCCAATAATCCTCAGCATGAATTGGTCAAGAATATTAGCTCAACTCAATGTCCAGGTTCAGTCAGATCCAAAACTGAAGGCGGATTTGTCATTTGAAATTCTGTTCAGGCTCAGTTGACAGTTTGAAAATGTTGCAACTTTTAATTCCTTGTTTCCATAAATAAAAATTCAAACTGCGCATAACAAAAGGAACTAAAATCATAAAAATTTTGATGGGCGATTCATACATTCAACAATCAACAGTAGTTTATAGAATTAAAGTGAAAAAATTTCCAGCTGAGCATTCATGTCAAACAGTTGGAAGTTAAAAACTGATGCAAAATGTGTTGACTGCCTCGTCGTGTTGACACATAATTAAAACATTTTTAAATCATTTTTATTTAATTCCTCATTTCCTTTCTCAGGTTCATATTAAGTCACATTTTATCATGAATGGTGTCTGTGTTCGATTCCGTGGATGGCTTGATTTAGAGCGATTGGATGGAATTGGTCGATTAGAATATGACGAGAGACGTGGAGCTCATGAAGATGTGATTCTTAAGGAACAACTTGAACGTTATAGTCAACGATTAAAAGATTTTGAAGACACAAAACGAGGAATTTATCCACGAACAGAAGATATTAAACGTGATGGACAGAATCAACAAATGAATGGATGGAGACGTTAAGCATAAAAGATTCATTTATAATTTAAGGAACTATAAGAAATTGTGCAATTTTAAAGGATATCCAATTTTGTGAGACATTTTCAATCAACTTTTTATGTTAGATTTTTTGCCAAAAAATAAAGGATTAAGAATTTCCAGAAAAAAGTCTTTTCAGTCGGAACATTTCAAAGGAATCGTCAGTGCTGGTTGTAGTTGTAGGAAAGTGTAATAACAAAAGAAAGTCATTTAAAGCGCTTTAAACAGGCTTCATTAACTCTCGATGAATGCTCATGTTGTTAAATTTGTTATTCTTTTAAATTTTAAGGAATAAGAATAAAAAGAGGAACAGATGAAAATCTCATCTCACTTAATTCCTGCATGGATTTTGAGCAACAACAATTGGATCAGAATAGAATAGAAGAGAATTTATGCTTTTTTATGTTGAAGAATGAAGATGGATTGGATAATTTATATTTATGTGCCATTCACTGAGCTAAGACTACTTTTTCACTTTTGTTACGAAAATTCTGTTCAAAAACTCAATTTAAGTCTTTCCATCTCCTTCTCCTTTTCTTCCATTCCTTTCTTTATAAATAAATTATTCAAAATATTTTTTTTTAACAATTTTGTTGAGAAATTGATCTCTCGCTTTTGTTTGTTGAAGTAATCTATCAGGTCATTATGTGATGTGTATATTTGAATGGACTAAGGTTCGTGAGTAAGAAGCTGAACATAATCGACAGACATAAAATTTAAATTGACTGCAAATTCGACAATTTAAATTTCGTTTTCTGATTTTTTTTTCTTTATTTCTTCTTTTTTGAATCATAAGCAATTTTCAACAACTGGAACTGCTAATTTGGCAATTCTTAAGAGCATCAGAAATGGAAACAAGATCCTCGTTATGTTATTGTTTGTTTGCAATTGTACAATAAACATCTCAAATTGTTTCTTTACATTTATGTTTGCATCAATCGACATGATCATGCGAAATGAGTTTCGTACTCAAATATCCATCTCGTTTATATTTTTTTATCATGTCAAATGGACAAAATATTGCATGATCGGCATCTTCTTCATCTTCTTACTATTATTATCTTATAATACCATCAGCTCGAACAAATAAACACTTCTTGTTGATGCTGCTACTTTCTTTATGCTGATCTTTGATGTTCATCTTCTATCCTCCTTCTTATTCTATGCTTCTCTTTTGTGTAATAGAGTAGAATTACTTCATAAAAATCTATCATTAAAAATTATCTTCAACATCACTTCTGGATTGTTTGTGAGGAGGATCTAGAACTAAAATTCTATAGAATTCACGTCCATTTGTGAAGCATAAAAAATTGAAGAATGGAAATATTGAAATTAATAGGAAATTGATCATTGAAATTAAGTTCATTTTATTCACGATATTGAATCATTGGAGGCGCCAAGAGCTCAATAAAATGAGCATTTAGAAGTTCTTATTTTATTCTTTTTTTCAATGCTTAAATATTTACATCAAGAATCATTTTATGATCCAACAAAGTCTCATTAAACTCGACAAATAAACAAAAACTTTTTGATGAATGAAAGAATTTAGTTTAATGATTCAGTGTGGGACTGTTGCAGCACATGATACATATTTCAGTAAATAAGGGCGATTGATGGATTAAAGTTTCACTTAATCGTAAACAAATTGTAAACATTCACACTCGAATTGAAATGGAAATGGAAATGGAAATGAACAGTTTTATTGTTATCAAATGGAAATGATCAACAAAAGTGTTTAAAGTAGCAAATTGAATGACTGCAAAGTGCAAATGAATGTCGATTTTAATCCGAACTGTAAATATATTAGAAGTAAGTTTGGGATATTTTGAGAAAAAGTGCACATGATTTTGTGTTTTATATTGACTCAATAATTACGGATTTCATAACTTATAATCTACAAGAGACTGCAAACTAATTTTACAACATTAGTATTGATTATCACCGACAAAAGCTCATAATTAGCACGATCGACGCTAAAGCAAAAAAATCTCTAAACCTACAAATTAAATTCAATTTAATTAAGGTGGAGACGTGTTATTTGTCAGGTATCACCCATGAAACTATTCATTATTTTATTATTTGTGCATTTCATTCATACTCACGAAACAGCATTATTGTTGGCTGTTGCTGTCATGCAATATGATTCTCACAATAATTTTCGTATCAAATTTTGACATGTTTTGTCAACATTCGAAGCATAAGAATCCGACACCTATTGAAATGATTTTTTGATTCTCATAAAAAAGGAGAAGCATAAAAAATAATCATGAATGCAGCATAACATTGTATGAGCCATAAAAGTGAAACAAAATTAGAAAAAAATATTGCAACAATTTAACACATTTTAAAGACGCGCATCGATCATCAAAAGAATCTGTTGCCGCTTTTCATTTAAAATTGGCAGGCGATTCTCTTTTCTTTCATAATCTGTAAATCTCATAAATCTCTCGCTCGATTTCGATACAAAAGGTCAAACTGAAGCCGAAACATGCAATCACGGCTCATCATATTTTGTGTATATTATTATTAGTATGAAATTATGATTTATTAAAAGACGGCGATCAGTCAAGCTCATTTTTTTGCGGACCATTCAATTCAATAATGCGATCATCAACACCATATACGCTGCGCACTAATAAACCAATTTAATTTAAAATGAAAATAAATTGCAGGAGTTTTATGGATGGATGTAATGAAAAGAGGTAATGAGATTGCTGTGGATACTTTAAATTGCTTCTGTTAGCTGTGCTGTAAAGTATTGGAATTTGGTGAATTTGCTCTGGATTAAATTTGAAAATGTAAGTTATGTAATAAATTTGGTCATAAAATTTAAGATGAGATTTGAAAGTGATGAAGATTTTGTGAATACAAAAAGATCTTAAGCTTAAAGCTACATGATTAAAATATTGTAAATTGAATGGCTTTTTTGATGAGTTTTATGATTTTTGAAGATTGCAACAAAAGTTCATTACTTACAAAAATGATAATGTATGGGCTTTTTCGAGGTAGGTTTACATTGCTATTGAAAAGGGGTTTGCTTAGGGACGAAGTAAAATAATTTCCATAAATTTTCGAAAAAAATGATAAATATTGGAAAAAAAACCTTTCAGCTACTTATGTCTTAATCCACTTAAGTATCGAAACATATTTGTTGAACAACAGCAAACACGAATCTCATAATTTTCCCCCTTTTTTATATAAGTACATAATACACACTATATGCAATTCTCTATTCATTCATTCACTCTTTCAGATACATGCTTATACATATTTTTTTTCTCTGTATCAAAGGCGGAGTTTATCGAAAGCTCTATTTGATTCTCACTAGAGCTGTTTATTCCTGACTTTGTTGTTCATATACATTTGAAACGTTGAATGAATCACATCGTTTTATCGCGAGACAGAGTGAATTAAATAATTTAAAAACAGGAAGAAGCAAAATTTGTGAAATGAAAAATTGAATTAAAAAATAAAAGCGAAGTGATAAAAAAGAATTATTTTAAGAATTGATCTGTGATTAAGCAAAGAATATAAACATGAATATGATAAATGAAGCTGTTTCATTTCCGGGAATGCTTCCGTTTGACACGATGGGATTATATGAGCCTCCTAGACCGCGATACATTTTAAAAATGCCAAGAGTTGTTCCTGAACAGAAGGAAAAGTTTGAAAGTGATGATATTTTTAAGAAATTGAGCCGTGATGGTGAAGTGAGTTGAAGTTATTGATGAATTTAATATCCTTTTATTATTCTATGTAGTGATTTTACTGGCAAATCTGGATGTTTTGAGGAATTGAATTTTCAGATTAAGTTTAAAATTTTTTGTTTATTTTGTTGCTGGATTATCAATCAGAAATCCACAAATATTTTATTTTAAGGGGTAAAAAAATTATTTTAAGCGCTGCAAGAAGGAAGTGGATGTCAGGTCATATTATGGGAATTCCAAATTGATAACATCTAGTTCTAGAAGCTAATACCTAATTTTGCCACCCTAACTGTATCTTTCCCAAATAATTATTAGTCTAAAAATAGAACTTCGCTTTAAAAACCCCCATCAGCAATCAGACAAAAAATAACCACAAAAATTACTCATGACGATAAGAACAGTTTGTTTAAAAACGCTACAAATTTCTAATGAATAATTCCCATTCACAAAAACTTTTTGTGCAACTTATGTCATATTGACTCATTTGGTTTGGAATTTCCTGATGTTATACTGCTACCCAAAATAGAGTTATGAATATTTAAGCTCTGTTTACACAATAATAATCGATAGATTTTTAAAATGTGATTTGAATTTTTAATGAGCCATCGATAAACGGTGCCGCGTTTTATGAGAAATAAAAAAACGAAAAATTTTATGCAAATTACTTTATAAGAAGATCAATTCTTAGTAAATCGTCAGCTGATGATTGTCGGGATTCTGTGAGGTCGCTTAAAATATGCAAATTAATGTGAAATGAATAGTTATCGGAATTCCATAAAATTCATACATTTTTTGCTTAATTAGAATATTCAACATAGCTGTTGCTACACATTTGTGATAAGAAATTTTAAATAATAATACAAAACACATTCAAAATGCTATCACAATGTTGCTTATCAAATTGTATATTCTATGCATGCTAATGTGCTCATAAATTATCAAAGTTCCCACATTTAATGCTTTGTATTTATTTTTCAAGTGAATAAAATGAGAAAAAGATAAAAAGAGAATTTTAAGGCTTTAACGTGACTCTTGTTGATAATTCTTTATTTCCAATTTGAAGTTCTAATTCGCTTTATGTGACTGACATTTATTCACTTTTAATTGCTTGATTTTCCAATAAAATTGTGCGTTTCTGTCGAATAAAATAATTCTCAAATCATTGCCTGAATTTTTAATCACATCCAAAAATTCTAATTCCATTAGGTAAGATACACAGGCTTTCGTGATCGACCACAAGAAGAACGAAAAATTCGCTTCCAGAATGGATGTCGTGAAGGTCATACAGAAATTTCATTTTTCTCCAATGGAATCAACATCCAGCTTATGTTTAATCCGAATCCAATGATGTATCATCATCACCATCATCATCATCATATGATGAATTTTGAGAGGGAACTGGACTTTGACAAAGAACACGGAAAGGTAAGCATTGAATGACTGAAATTGATATTGATTGACAGCTACAATTGAGCATAAGACAAGCCAAACGGAAACTTTTTTTGCATCACCGACCGTGAAATTTTGTGGAACCCTACACTTTTTTAAAGTAGTTCCACATTGCGAAAAATAAAGTTTAAATTTGTTTCGCATTGAGGATTATTGATTTTTGCAACAGAAACAGACGAGACGCTCTGCCATTTTGCATTTTTCTTTCAAAAATAGACAATTTGGAAAAAAATTCATGTACATGCGCAATTGCTGTTAAATTGAATAGTACGCAATAATCCCCAAGCAACATCTTTGTGATTTTATTGATTTTTTTTTTCAACTCTAAATGTAGCCTTTTGCGTATATTTTTGCTGTATATTAAGAATATCGTGTTTTGACATTCGTTTCCATTTTTTTAACTTTTATTTTGATGTCAATTCTCAGGTTCACATAAAATCACCTTTTATTATGAATGGTGTCTGCGTAAGATTCCGTGGATGGATCGACTTAGAGCGATTGGATGGAATTGCTAAATTGGAATATGACGAGAGACGTGGAGCACATGAAGATGCTATACTAAAAGAGCAACTTGAACGTTATAGCCAGCGATTAAAGGATTTTGAAGACACAAAACCGAGAAATACAAATTTGAATGAAAATAGAAATGGAAATTGGCGACAGTAGAAACTATTTTAAGTTTTTGGATATAACTTTGTTAAACTAGTGACTTAAGTAAACTTTAATGTGAATAAGATTTAATCAGTTTTATTGATTGATTCAATAATAAAAGATGTAGAAAGAATTAAAAATTATATAAGAAATCCCAAACACTTTTTTTTGTTATTTTTAACCAGCATAAAATCCAGAATTCGTGATTTTTCATTGAATCAACAATTTTCGCATGTGCCGTGTGTGTCGCATCCACTTTTGATCAAAAGAAAAACATTTTCATTCCCTTTCTATTTACTGAAAATTTATTGACTCAATTTTAAGGATTTTGTCCTTATTTTTATCAAAACTCGATAAATTTTTAAATTATTGAGCATGACAATTTTTTACAACATAATCTTCGAAAGATTTCTACAGAACAAGAAGAATCCCTTATGTCTACTGACTGTCAGTTGATGATATTTATGTAATTTATGATTTTCGGTACAATAAGGCATGTTTGTTTGCTTTTCCCAGTTCTCAATTCTGTTTCAATTTGCAGGTAATTTTCAATTGTTGTAATTCCTTCCTCCGATCCTTTTTTTAATGATTTTTCTTTTATATTGAGTATCATTTACCTGCTGATACTTAACAGATACTCAGTTTGTTTTAAATTGCAACATGAAGCTTTTCAGTGCCGATAATTTCACTTAAAATGATTTTAAAATGCGTCAAAAGTGATAAGAGAAATGCGTTAGACGAAATGTTCAGCTATTAACAGCTCATAATTTGTTAAAGGATTAATGAGTCAGCACAAAACCTGTTTCATGCCATCTTGCATAAATTTAGTATTTCAAACAAAAGGAACTTTGTCCATTTAATATAATTTTGTTTGGTACCACGCCCTTGAAAGGGTTAAAACATTGCATTTGCCGTTTGTCATAGCTGCAAATCATTCAGATGAGAAATATAAATTAAAATTGCCGTTTTCAGATGTTTAAGTCCATAAATTTTATTTTTTATACAGTTTGTCATCAGCATTTGGCACCAGTCAGCTCATTGCACCCCTTTTGCACTAAAAGTTTTCCCATTAGACTCGACTAGTGACTTGATGACATAATTTTGTCGATCAATATTCGATTATGTCGCATTAACTTTTTTATTATATCCGAAAATATTTTTTGGGATGGAAAAAAAATCACAGATTTTTGGAAATTGCTAAAAAAATTATTTCGAGGGTGTTGAGTAAGTCACATTAAAAGTCGATAATCCACAGAACTTCAATGTGATAATCCATCAATGAAAAAAGAGTCAATTCATGAGAATCTCTGCAGAACTAGAATTAAATATCATTAATAATGCAACACATGGATGATCAGCAACTCTTTCCAATTTCCTTATAACAAGACATGATAACAAGCATGATGATGCAACTTATTGCAACCCTATCCTATATCCATATCCAGTTAAATTAGTTTAAAAGACCATGAAACTGTAGAAAATTGTTTGTTCCTTAATCAAAAGCAGTTGCTCAATTTTTTTATACCTGAAAATCAACAAAAAATTTTTGTTTCAGTTGCAGATGAGCCTTCAACAGTTGAGCATCATGAAATTTCTTCTTCTTACTGCTGTTGTATCAATTTTGATTTTGAGTCAAAGAATAAAGGCAAAACCATTCGAATTTGATCCAGAATCACTTCCATTACATCTTGAATTTCCAAATCCGATCAATGAAATTGAAATTTTCTTCGACTGCGATGACAACAAATTTATAAGTAAGGAACTGATTTGTGATAAACATAAAGATTGTACAAATGGAGCTGATGAAGAAAATTGCAAAGATGAATTTGAATTCAGTGAATGAATGACTCAAACAGATGTTGGAACTGAATTTTGAATAAAATAAAGATTTTTAAATAAAAACGCAAAGTGAATTTTTTGATTAATTTTGGCGTGAAAAATTTAAAATTTATTGAAATTCAGCACCCTTTTAGCTTGTTAACTTCCTCACTATTTCCATATTCTCATTATTAGTTATTTAATAAGTTCATGTATGCACCCTCATTGATGTCACTTTTTATGATTTTTATTACACAATTCACAACTTGTCAACCTGCATTAATGGAACAAAACATTCATCAGCTGCAAATTGGTTCCGCTTTGATCTTCTTCTTCTTTTCTCATCCATTGAAGCTGAAGTTAAGGTGAGCTGCTGTTGCAGTAACTATGTCATCGATGGATAATCCAAAATTATTAAAAATAGACGAACTCTGCATTCATGTTGATCCTAAGCTCTAATACACAATATGAAAATAAAGCAGGTAATTGGAATGAGGGAATGAGTTTTGGATTGAATGAATTGCGTAATATAATTTTTTTGAAGGATTAATAAAGGCTTTAATCCCAGGATTATCTCAAATTTATTTTCATGTGAAGGTGGATCAGGATTTAAATTTTAAAATTTAATAAAAAGTTTGAGCTTCAATTTAATGCAGAACAAAAAAAATCGTTACAAAATGCAGGAATGCTTTCCAATATTAATTATCCATCTACCTGGCTTTTGTCTCACATTCTCAGCTAATTAGATTATTTCTGCATCATTGGAATGGAAATTAAAATGCCACCCAAGTATAAAATGACGTTTTTGTGCATAAAGTGTGTTTTATGCACAATATTGATACTTTATTCTCAATGTTAATGATACCTTCTTCTGTTTTAATTTTTATTGATGAATTTTTAAGGTTTCAATTAGAAGTTTTTTTATTTCTTGGAATTTTGTTTCAAAGGAGCTTCATGCTGCATATTTATTATTAAATTTCATTATGTCAAGTACTTTCAAATATTTTTTTGAAAAATTAATTTAATATAAATTTCAAAATTATAACAAAAAGGGGAATCGCCACTTAAATCAAGAATATGTACTTCAGCATTATTATATCAATGTATGCAGAACATCTGATTTGAATTCCATTTGAAGGGTCGACAAATATTCAAATTTGACATCAATACAATTATTGAGAGAGATTTTTGACCCAAAAATCCACTCGATCATGAGATTTGCATCATGTAAGTACAAACAACTACCCTAGAGTTGTCTCATTTCCTCTCAGTCGTCTAGTGGAACTGAAGTGAGAGAGATGCTCATGAATATTTTGTGAGGCATTCAAGTAAATTGTTTAAATACAAAAAAGTGTCAAACAATGAAATTCTCGTTTTAATGATTCACAAATAAGGAAAAACAAGCATGCAGCAGTCGATTGTGCAATTTTTCGTTCCTTTCTGCTTTAATGAACGTTAGTAATAATCATCATTGCAATAGTCAAAGCTGTTATTGTTAATGTAGAATACTTAACTTAACACAGGGGTTCAAAAAGGTAGCATTGACACTCACAAAATCATTTCAGCATTTACCCTCTGAATTTATTTCCAATTTCTCAATACAAAAAGTGTTCTTTTTTTTGTTCTGTAGAGGAACTGAATTGTATTTCAGTTTATTGTGTGCCGTGTCTATAAACAAGAAAATTCTCTCTCTATTCTTTCTCATTGTCCATTCAGTTCTGTTTATTTTTAACATTGCATGAAATTTTTCTATTCAACATGATGATTATTAGAAGGCAGCAGCTTGAGGCAGGTTCAATATCAATAAAATAATACGAGATGCCAATTAATCATCAAATAAACAAGCAGTGCTGATGGAAAAAAAATTCATTTCCTGTATTTTCTTGTCAATTTTTGTGATTGAGATTTAATTAAAAATCTTGTGGAATTGCTGATTATAAATTTTAATCAATATGAACTAGTTCTGCCTTAAAAAACGAATTTTAAAATTTTCATTAATTAAGCTTTAAAAAGTGTCACCTCAACCCTTTCAGTTCCATTGCCTTGTCAAATGTTTGCAAATGAAATTAACAGAATCAGTCCATAGACAGCCTTCCTTACTTTGATTCTACATTCAATCATGAAGTATAAATTTCAATTAAGAAGGATTAAGGAACAACAGAAATGAAATGCAATGGGAATAATTTCTTTTGCCTTATTGCTGATCATTTTTATCGGATTTGTCACTATTTGTGATATGAAGGCTGGCTTATGCATTGATATTTTGATATTTCAATCATCTCCTTAATGTGTGAACTTCTTGTCATTTACAGACGACTTGATGAAGGATATGCAAGATGATTTGACAGTTATTTGATATTTTTTTGCAAGCCTTAAAATGAGCAATCATCAGTTCCGATTTGTCTTTCTTGTTTGCACATCGAATTAAAAAATTTAAATTTTCATCCTCAATCTATTTAAATAAAATATTCAGCAGTGTCATGCATGTAATTTTGGGACATGAAAAATGTCTTGCATAAGTCGATGTGCAAACAAATTTATTTAAAAATAGTTTCAGACTGAAAGGGTTGCTGATCAGCATTTGATGTCTCAATTTAATGAACGATGAAATTATGAATGTCGTTGCTTAACATGACACAACATCCTCATTTGCTCGCACCTCTTTGATTATTTGCATAAAATTCACCATAACTGATCGACTAGAAGCATGGAGAATCGAACAGCAGAGATTTTTTTAATGGAAAGGGTTAGATGGCAATAAATTTTCCAGCATTATAATCCGTAACACGTTTAGGACATTAAGAAAAGGATTTAATCACTGAAATTACATCAGTTATTTTTTGGTAATCAATGTAAGTTAAAATCAATTTTGGATGTTCCATAAAATTCGATCCAGTTAAATATTTATTGGCCTTGTTTCTGAGAATTTTTAGCCGATTTGAAACAGATAATTCCTTAAATTTAGTGCTTCTGCAAAATAGCAAGGAAAAAGTCCTGGGAAAATGTGCAACACATCTAAAATAATTAAAGACTAATATATTTACATATCGGATTAAAATCGACATTCATTTGCACTTTGCAGTCATTCAATTTGCTACTTTAAACACTTTTGTTGATCATTTCCATTTGATAACAATAAAACTGTTCATTTCCATTTCCATTTCAATTCGAGTGTGAATGTTTACAATTTGTTTACGATTAAGTGAAACTTTAATCCATCAATCGCCCTTATTTACTGAAATATGTATCATGTGCTGCAACAGTTCCACACTGAATCATTAAACTAAATTCTTTCATTCATCAAAAAGTTTTTGTTTATTTGTCGAGTTTAATGAGACTTTGTTGGATCATAAAATGATTCTTGATGTAAATATTTAAGCATTAAAAAAGAAGCAAATAAGAACTTCTAAATGCTTCTTTTATTGAGCTCTTGGCGCCTCCAATGATTTAATATCGTGAATAAAATGAACTTTATTTCAATGATCAATTTCCTATCAATTTCAATGTTTCCATTCTTCAATTTTTTATGTTTCACAAATGGACGTGAATTCTATAGAATTTTAGTTCTAGATCCTCCTCACAAACAATCCAGAAGTGATGTTGAAGATAATTTTTAATGATAGATTTTTATGAAGTAATTCTACTCTATTACACAAAAGCAGTTAAGTGCCTTGCTGGTCGAATAGGTAAGGCGCTTGGCTCAAATTTGGGATGGTAACTCGAAGGTCGTCGGTTCGAATCCAGCCATTTCCAAATTTGTTCTTTTTCGGAAGTTTAGATACTTCGACTGCTTAATGTACGAGATCAAGCCATAATTGGGCATTTGGGCAACGTTGGATTAAGGAACGGGTCAGGAACTTGAAGTGTAGCGGGAGAAATAGGAACGAGAGCTACAAGATTACCCACGAATGGAATATTGATAGAACGGACCTGAAAAGTATCACGTAACGCCTACAGAAGATCGAAACGAGAGCCTTAGTTTATTTGAAACCTAGATATGAAGATTAAAAGTTTGATCCTACATAATATTAATTCATATGTATACAAATACAAAAAGTGTAAAATGTGAATTATTTCCGGACAGTATGTCGTCAATAAATGCAATAAAGTGCAATTAAAATGAGAAAAAAATGAGAAGAGAAGCATACGAATAAGAAGGAGGATAGAAGATGAACATCAAAGATTAGCATAAAGAAAGTAGCAGCATCAACAAGAAGTGTTTATTTGTTCGAGCTGATGGTATTAAAAGATAATAATAGTAAGAAGATGAAGAAGAAGCCGATCATGCAAGATTTTGTCCATTTCACATGATGTAAAGATCTGAACGAGATGGATATTTGAGTACGAAACTCAATTCGCATGATTATGTCGATTGATGCAAACATAAATGTAAAGAAACAATTTGAGATGTTTATTGTACAATTGCAAACAAACAATAACATAACGAGGATCGTGTTTCCATTTCTGATGCTCTTAAGAATTGCCAAATTAGCAGTTCCAGTTGTTGAAAATTGCTTATGATTCAAAAAACGAAAAAAATCAGAAAACGAAATTTAAATTGTCGAATTTGCAGTCAATTTAAATTTTATGTCTGTCGATTATGTTCAGCTTCTTACTCACGAACCTTAGTCCATTCAAATATACACATCACATAATGACCTGATAGATTACTTCAACAAACAAAAGCGAGAGATCAATTTCTCAACAAAATTGTTAAAAAAAAATATTTTGAATAATTTATTTATAAAGAAAGGAATGGAAGAAAAGGAGAAGGAGATGGATAGACTTAAATTGAGTTTTTGAACAGAATTTTCATACAACAAAAGTGAAAAAGTAGTCTTAGCTCAGTGAATGGCACATAAATATAAATTATCCAATCCATCTTCATTCTTCAACATAAAAAAGCATAAATTCTCTTCTATTCTATTCTGATCCAATTGTTGTTGCTCAAAATCCATGCAGGAATTAAGTGAGATGAGATTTTCATCTGTTCCTCTTTTTATTCTTATTCCTTAAAATTTAAAAGAATAACAAATTTAACAACATGAGCATTCATCGAGAGTTAATGAAGCCTGTTTAAAGCGCTTTAAATGACTTTCTTTTGTTATTACACTTTCCTACAACTACAACCAGCACTGACGATTCCTTTGAAATGTTCCGACTGAAAAGACTTTTTTCTTGAAATTCTTAATCCTTTATTTTTTGGCAAAAAATCTAACATAAAAAGTTGATTGAAAATGTCTCACAAAATTGGATATCCTTTAAAATTGCACAATTTCTTTTAATTCCTTAAATTATAAATGAATCTTTTATGCTTAACGTCTCCATCCATTCATTTGTTGATTCTGTCCATCACGTTTAATATCTTCTGTTCGTGGATAAATTCCTCGTTTTGTGTCTTCAAAATCTTTTAATCGTTGACTATAACGTTCAAGTTGTTCTTTAAGAATCACATCTTCATGAGCTCCACGTCTCTCATCATATTCTAATCGACCAATTCCATCCAATCGCTCTAAATCAAGCCATCCACGGAATCGAACACAGACACCATTCATGATAAAATGTGACTTAATATGAACCTAAGAAAGGAAATGAGGAATTAAATAAAAATGATTTAAAAATGTTTTAATTATGTGTCAACACGACGAGGTAGTCAACACATTTTGCATCAGTTTTAAACTTCCAACTGTTTGACATGAATGCTCAGCTGGAAATTTTTTCACTTTAATTCTATAAACTACTGTTGATTGTTGAATGTATGAATCGCCCATCAAAATTTTTATGATTTTAGTTCCTTTTGTTATGCGCAGTTTGAATTTTTATTTATGGAAACAAGGAATTAAAAGTTGCAACATTTTCAAACTGACAACTGAGCCTGAACAGAATTTCAAATGACAAATCCGCCTTCAGTTTTGGATCTGACTGGACATTGAGTTGAGCTAATATTCTTGACCAATTCATGCTGAGGATTATTGGCTATTAAATCGATCATTAAAGTCTAATATTGCACCAGAATTGAGCACCTTTTCATGTTGTTCTTATTCATCTGTTATTGCTTCCAATTTTTCAATTTAAACTGAACACGAAAATTAGAATTTATCAGCAGCTGAATGCATCGTCGCACTTATGTGTGCCTTGATTGTAATCAACAGTTAATGATGATCATAAATTCGGCAAATCATCAAAGAACAAGAGATTAAAGCATATAGGAAGACCAGAATTCTCACGAAGTCAAAAATCTTTGTTTATTTTTTAAAAAGTTCTTGTTTTTGTTTTCTGCGTTTTCTGATAGAAATCAGAGATTCACGGCATGACAAGAAGTAAAACAAAAGGTAATGAAAAGCACCTTCTCTCATTTCGTATTTATTTGATTTAACATTCTTTAGAATGTCCACGTGACATCGTTCAATTGATGTCAACATGATGATAAGCTACACGCGACTTTTTAAAATGTGATGAAAAATTGTCATGTGAAGGGTTTTAGTTCCTTTAAATAGTTTAAAATGACACGAGTGAGGGTGGCTCAGAAATATTTGATTTATGATGCAATTCATGCTGTTGGATTTTGTGCCTTTACATGTGTTCAACATGCTTCAAATTTCAACCAAAGGATCTTTTGGAAGATTTTGCTAGGAATTAAAATGCAATTGGAAGTTTTTTAAGACCTCCTGCGTGACCGGAAGTTCAAAATAAATTTTTTTGCTGCTCTAAAAATTCTTTAATTGCTGATTGGAAGTGCAATAGAAACATATGTTGGATATGTGTTGGCTTTAAATTATAACTGCATGCAATTAGTCTTTACAAATAGCCCGAAACGAAAATTAGCACCAATCTTTTTTGTTATGACTGTTCATCCTTTAATATGTTGCTTATGGAAGCAATAAAGCACTAAATTTGAACATAAATCGAGTAACGGAATTCAAGCGAGGATCAATTTATGAAATTTTCATGCTTAATTGTGTCATTAAACTGAATTGCCTCCTTTTGTTTACCTCTTTTCGACCCTTTTAGGTATCGAATGCATCGACATTTAATTGGATAGTCTTTTCTCATATCCAGAATGTTCTCGACGAGGGTGGTGCAATTAAGTTATTAAGTAATTCACTTTTATGCTCAATTTAATTTAATATTGGAGATATTAATCTACTTACTTTTCCTATTTCTTTATCAAAATCACATTCTCGTTCCATAATATATGCAGGATGATGATGATGATGAAATCCAGGATTGAATATTAATTGAACATTTGTGCCTGAAGCTACAAAAGAGATCTCTGTGTGGCCTTCACGGCATCCAGTTTGAAATCTTAACTGTCTTTCTTCTTGTGGTCTATCACGGAATCCAGTAAAGCGAACTTCTCCATCTCGATGAAGCCTTTTGAATAAATCATCAGTTTCAAATTTCTCTTTTTGATTCGGAACGACTCGTGGCATTTTAAAAATATATCTTGGCTTTGGTGGTTCATAGAATTGCATTGGATCGAATGGAATCATTCCAGCTAGTGATGGATCATTCATCATATTCATGTTCATCATTTTAAATGCCTTTCTTTTAATCAATTAACACGGATTTAATTTTTTGATTGATTTTCTTTTTTTTTTTCACTTCAACTTTTAATTTTTTTTTGGCACGAAGCTAAAATTTCACGCCACTTGAAATGAATTCGTTTCGAATTGTGACTAACAACTGAGTAGGAAGCAGCAAAAAATAATCTGTGAAAATGGCAAAATTACGAGCAAAATAACGAAAGCTTTTTAAGCTCCTCCCATTTTGTTATATACTTGCTGAACATTTGAGAAAAGTGAGAAAAAGAGTAGCTCTTGGGATCATTCAGCAAATTACGTCAAGATTTGTTTTATGTTTCTGAACCCTTTATGTGTGCTATTATTATATCATGTTGAGATTGTGTGAGGATTTAACGTTTCCATGACAACTTAAAATTTAATTCTCTATTTTACTACGAACTTAGTCACTAGAAATATAAATACAAATGTTTACATTCAACAATAAAATTAAAGATGGATAATATAAAGATGAAGTGACAATATTAAAAGCATTTGCTGCCTTTTCAGAATCATCGAACCTTCTATAAAAATATGGAATTCTCTATTCTCTCTGTTGACACTTTTTGTCTGCTTTAAAGAAAAGATTTTTAAGGAATTTTGTTTTAACATGTTAATAAAGAACTAAAAGGCGAAGATAGACATAGTTTTTGTACCTAAACAACATATCTATTACGATTTTTTATGACTTCTATTCCTTTGTCCTTTGATGAAGCGAAGAGATGGAGAGAAGGGGGTTGTTGCTTGAAGAAGTCATTATATTATGCCAGTCTTCATGAAGAGGAGGCTTGTGTAAGGGCCTTATAGTCATTGCTTCTTACTAGGCTCTTCTACACATAGTCGAATGCTTATCAAACTGTCACGTGTGTCGTGTGTCGCGATCCTAATAGTTTGATAAACACTGTTCTCTGAACTTAATGTAGCAATGATATTAAATAAGTTTTACTCGGTAGTATAATGGTGAGTATGCAGAATACTAGTTGATTTTAATAAATCCAATTTTCCTCGGTAGTATAGTGGTGAGTATCCTTACATATAGACAAAATTGTTCAATTGAGACATTTACTTAAACTTACCATTCCCCTTGAAGACATGTTATTACTAGTTACATAAAAGGAATCACAATTTATCATTTTATGTTCTTTTATCTTCTTTTTGTCGACGCAAATCTACCTGAAAGGCTGTAAATAAAAATATTTGTAGTTTTCAAGATGAAATTAAATGAATATATCACAAAGATACTTTATTTCGATATGAAATATTTCTGCCCTATTCAATGATTTACAGGAAGCACTTCCAATAATAAGTATTAACAATATCATTGATCATCAATCCTCTTTTCCTATATTTCATTTGAAAACAATCCTCTCGTAGATATTAATTTGCTTTTTGACTCAACAATGTATTTTGAGCCTATTGAAACGATGTTGATAAATATCCGGAAGGTAAGTATCAACATTATTTATGAGAATTATGTAATAAAAGAGCTTATGTTTGTTTATTTTCTTTTAATTTTTATTAATTCATTATAAAATTCATTGATTTTTTTTATCTTTTTTTTCTATCTCGACTTTTCAATAAAAAGAAGAAAAAAAAATTGGTTAATTAAATTAATGATAAAGAAAAACAAAATTTACATGTGTAATCCTTATAAAATATTGGGGTGAGCTTACTTGTAGAATTATGTTGAATATTGAAATTAAGACTTGCTTGCTTTTTATTATTTCATTTTTTCTTTTATTTGTTTTAGTCTCAAAGTTATTAAAAATTTACATAGTACATGATTACAATTTAAATTAAGGATAAAATTTCTTTATCAGTGAATCTAATTGCTAGTTGCAAATGACAATTAAAGTAAGGTTGTTATGAACAAATTGTGTGTCAATCTTATTAATCGAGCACTTAACTATCATTTTTTGTTTGCTCATTGTAAATAAATTAAAAGTTTGAGTTCCGATTAGGTTTTTCTTAGTTCTTTCAAGTTTCTAGGCAATTTTATTTCAATGTTTCGTGTTAATAGGTCGTATCCTTGGAGTATGCTGCTCCAATTATTTTTTTAAAAATTTTAGTCCTTCAATATAAATCCAGAAATCATTCATTCTTATCATTTTCCTGTTTCAAAAGTTTTCATTGATTCTTATTTCTCAAGGCAATTCAATTTAATTTGTTATTCCTTTAAATATGCTTTTCAAAGCCAATTATTTTAATGTTATACATTATTCAGTATGATATGCAAGGAAACATGCTTTGTTATTATAAAAACTAGGATGGACTTGTGTGTGTAATGAAATGAAAGTAAAGTCGTTAGATGAAGTGATGTTAATTTATTTTAGGAATGGCTTATTGCGAGTCTTAATTATTCTTTCAAAATACTTTCATATCTTTTTTTAAGGAAGCTACTAATGTGTTATGGAGGAGTAGAAAGTTGCGTTCAAATTGGATCACATTAATGGATTACTCATTTCTTGGGGATATTTTTTATGATCTCATAAAGGCACTTAACAAATGAATAAGATTTGATTGAATTGTTATAGTTCAAGAGGAAAGTAATTGGAGTACATTCAAATTAAATGTCGATTTAGCGAATGCGCGTAATGAGAAAATTAATGGTTAGTCAATGAAGAAATCAAGTAATTGTGTGAGCCGTAATTGCTCAACTAAGTGCTTTTAAATTTGTTATTTTGATGGTCAGAAGCAGTCAGAAGTTGAAGTTTTGGAGCTGAATCGACTGCAAATCAACTCGAGAAATTGAGTTGACTTTAAAAGGAGTCGATCTCATCGATACAAATAAATTGTGCTAAGATCTACAACTAATTCATTCAACTTCAACTTCTGCAAACTTAATTTTTTTCTTCTCTACATTTAAATTAACAAGCACTCGCACTCTTCAATTCAAATTAACATCTATTTAATGCGAAAATTATTATTTCCGTTATTCAAAAACTAAATCCAATTTAAATTTATGAATTACTTCCAATTACTTCACATTTGAAGACAATATCGATTGTATTTGTTATCCCAATTTGAACATCAACATTATTAACTTAAAAAATTTGCATTAATTAATATTAAAATCACTAATCTTGTTGCTTATGTAATTCTTATTATTTTCTGTCTTTTTTGTATGGTTGAGTGAGATTTATTTTAACGGGAAATTGTACACCTTTTAGTTCTATTAAAAATCAGAATTTTGTCTTGGGTTTATATGGCATTTTTCAATTTATATTGTGTGTCTATGTTGAATGGAAATCAAATTCTGTGGATTAAATTAGTGATTGAAGTTTTTCATATTCTTTTTTTTTTGGTTAATAATCTTTGTTTAATTTCACCGCATAGGAATTAATTTTGTTTCTTTTTCTCTCATATTTCTTTCATTCTTTCCATATATCTCGTGTACTTTCTTACTACTTAATTTTAAGTGAGTCAAAGGTTATTTACATCCACATTATTTTGTATATAATTGCGTTTGTTAAATCAAAAAGAGTGAAATTTATCTAATTTCTTTATTTATGGATACAAAATAAGAAACATGCTCTCATTACCATCTGAGAACTTTTTCATTAAAAAAAAAAAAAAACAGAAAGTGCAGCCATAACTGAACTTATATAGAAAGGGAGAAATTGTCATACAACGAGTTTCTATATTGAGCAAATTATTGCTTCACGTACACACAACTTTTTGTAGATCCATTTTTACAATATAAAAGCGTTCAATTTGAATGGATTGAGTTTTTTAGCGTATTTTACCAAATTTTATAACGTTTTGTAGATTTTCAAATTTTCTGACAGTTGTTTTTTTTTTTCATTTTAATTGCACTTTATTGCATTTATTGACGACATACTGTCCAGAAATAATTCACATTTTACACTTTTTGTATTTGTATACATATGAATTAATATTATGTAGGATCAAACTTCTAATCTTCATATCTAGGTTTCAAATAAACTAAGGCTCTCGTTTCGATCTTTTGTGGGCGTGACGTGATACTTTTCAGGTCCGTTCTAACAATATTCCATTCGTGGGTAATCTTGTAGCTCTCGTTCCTATTTCCCCCGCTACACTTCAAGTTCCTGACCCGTCCCTTAATCCAACGTTGCCCAAATGCCCAATTATGGCTTGATCTCGTACATTAAGCAGGTTTTTCGACCGTTATAAATTATAATTATTCAATTTTAAGAATATGCGCTGTTAAAGTCCACAAATGACCACCAAACTGAACAGTTTTCGTACGTGACATTTATCAATCACCAAAAATATTTCCTGGCTCATTAGCATGTCGTCACTCACATTTTGGAGTAGACATTGGTCAGTGGTGCTTTCATAATTTTCAAATTGATTTACAAATCAGTCATTGCAAAAATGTCCACTTCCAATGACTTTTACATTCTTTTATACTCAGCAACCGTGAATTATTATCATGAGTCAGCTGATTTACATTGTTTGAGACATTGACATGACTTTTCATGATTTCTTTGAGCAAAATTATCGAAATTGAACTAAAATGTGCTTTATGTCTTTGTCTCATATGGACGGTTCTCATATGCATTTCCCTATAATTTTATTATTCCAAGTTAGGCGTTTTTGTAATACAAAAAAAAATTGTTATTTTTAAACTTTTTTTACCACGTTCTTCATCAATTAATCATTTGTTAATTTATCAGTCTTAATTGCATCAATTATTCAATTTGTGATAAGAAGTGTTATTATTCACTATAAGGAAGTTAAGCATGCCACATAAAATTAAAAAGGTTAATAAAAGAAAGGTTTTTAAACTTAAAATGGCATTTTTACAACAACAAAAAAAAGACACAGTTTTTTTACGGTTTACAGTCATTGAAGAGAGAAAAAAGGTTCCCGCTTAGTAATTAAAAAATACACGAAGAAAAAAATTAAAAATATATAAGAATGAGCTGCAAGAATTATGTCTAAGATGCCTTTTGTGACATAGAAAGAAATGATTTCAAATATCCACAATCATTTTTTGTAGCGGCAACAACGAACTTCCGATCTTCTCATTCTCTGGGAGACAACGAATTTTTAATAACCAACCTCGACATTCGACGCATTTTTGGGCTCTTTCCTCGCGTGCTATATCAGCTCCAAGCCCTCTCGTCCACGGATCAATATTCGATTGAATTACTGGCAGGAATTCTTTGATTATTACTCGAAGTGTGTCACATGCTCGTTGGTAATGGCTGTTAAGGAAGAGAGTATTGTTAAAACTACTATTTCAAAGTCCGCCATTTTTGAAGGATTTGCAAATGAAAAATAATATTGAATTTCCAGTTTTCTTTTTCATCATACCAACCCCTAATTATATACATATATAACATATCTCATCCCTCTCAACAGTCATGCATACTTGAAATTAATACATGAATGATACAATAGACAAAAATACCCTCATTTTTGTTACTTTTCAATGATAAAAATCAGGAAATATATGTGTACATAAAATACAAGGGATTAAATTATGCATAACTGTTGAGATTCGTACGGATGTTACGTCAAACTTACAATTTAAGATCGCTCTGTAGAAGATCATAAATTAATGGAAGAATAACAACGCACATATCTAACGTCCACATCGCACTGTGAATGACACATAAAAATTCATTTTATTACTATCGTTATTTTAATTCATAAATTAAGCCACTCATACCTTTTCTCGAGAATAGCTCCTAATAAATCGACTATGACTGAGTCATCCTTTATTCGGGCTAATGCTCTGATTGCTGCGCTAAGATCTTGAGTTCTGTGAATTGAAAATTCGTTAAAAATTTATTTGAATTGAAAACCGTTCAACAGTTTGAATAATTTTGCATTTGTATGGTTTTAATAATTTAAGTTCGAATGATTTAGCATTTGTATGGTTTTAGAATAACGGTTTCATGCCATTTGAAATTAAGAGGTTTTTAATTTGAATGTTTTAAAATTGTACAAATGTTTTCAAAACTTTTGCGAATTTGTAAGGTTTTCATTGTAAATCACTAAAATTGATTATTTTAACCCAAACAAAGTCGAATCTTTTAAACCAATACACGATAAAGTTGTAATAAAAGAAAATATCAATACCAAAAAAGCCAGCCTTCAAATTCAAGTTCAAATGCAATGACTGAGTCAATCAAGTTATTATTTTCTTTAGTTCATAGACATGCACAGTAGACAACAAGTGTAAATAAACTTTCACCTTACCTCATATGATTTCTTATCATATCTAAACTAGTTATCCGATTACACAAAGTATTAAACATAATGTCATGACCAGATTGAATAACTTGTATATCATGTGCTTCATTCGACGTCTCATAACTGCTAAAATTTGTCGATGTCGTCGTTATGGTTGTCTCATGCGAATGTGACGATATGTTACTAAGATGAGGTGCTGTTATTGAATGCGGAATTGATGTAGGATGTATAAGATTTTGATGTGAGTTTATCGCATGAATTTGTTGTTGTTGTTGTTGCTGTAGATGTTGAATAGTAGGTGATTGAACACTTCGAGGGATTGAACTACGACCATTCGATTTAATGTCAATTGCGGTTTTTGATCGTTGTGGTTTCGTAAAAAATTGAACAGAGAGGTTTTTTTGGTTCTGGTTCTTCACTTGATATGATGATTCACTCTTTCGTATCTTTGAATTGGCTGTATTATGATTTCTTATTGGCGATGATCCACGACTTTTAGGCTTCCTTGAAGCCGTTGTGATATTGGAGAATTGTTCATCAATTTTACGAAGATCAACTGTACTCACACTCGTCGTACTTGACTTCCTTAAATTTGTCGGACGAATTGAATTCGGTGGCGATGATCTACGCTTTTCATGACTCTCCATGACTTTTTGCTTTGTCGTGACTGGCTTTGAGATAGTTGTTTGTGGCAATTTCGGGGCATAATCTGGCTGTTGAGCACTATTAACGGTAAACTCCTCATGCGTTGAGACATTACGGAGTATAAAGCGATTTGGTGAATAATATCCTGTATCAATATCGCTACTATATCCAGTAATTTCGATATTTGTAGGCTTTTCAAAATTATAATCATCATTTTCGGCCAATGGAAATCCATGAACGATTGTCGTAGTCTCTTGTTGGTCATCACTGATTATTTTACTTAATTGATATTTCTCTTCGCCATTTGTTGTCGTTAGATTATTGCTATAATCAATTGCATTCTTATACTTGTTGATCGCATAAAACTCAAATTGTTGATCAGGTGTTGACACAGTCAACGATTCTGGCTCAAAATCTTCCTCAATCATTTCAATTGATAAGTTAGGCGACGATAAGTTTCCCGCATCAAGCGATATAGGATCATTAATTTTGACACTACCATTAGACAATGTCTTCTTATCTATTGATATTCGTAGTTTACCATTTCCTCTATTAAATGATTTCCTTGAGCTTTGCTGATGATTAAATACAACACTGGCGGGATTATAAAATGGAATCACATAATCGAGGTTCATAGCATGTATTGTTACATTCCTATTCTCATATCCACCACAGATAAGTTTACGATTAATTATTTTCATATCGCCTAAATGACTCCAGTTTGACTCGATTCTATCAAATTCACGATCTGGCTCCCAACCAATCACGGATATATTTTGTGTTGTACCAACAAACAGGCACTCACCATTATCACTAAATGTTATGCATTTTACAGAATTTCCACCAGCTTCACGTCGCTCAATACGCGAAATCATTTGTTTACTTTCTAGATCGTACAAATCAACAGATCCATCATTACGACCAGCTGCCATCAGAAATTCATATGGATGAAATTGTAGGCATGTCACAGGCGAGCCATTCTCTATAAATTCTAGTAGTTTATTGCTCATTCGTATGTCCCATATAATCACGCAACCTAAAATTAGAACAGACTTTTGTAGTTTTTCGGGATTTTATTTTTGGTCGGTTTTTTTTTTAAATTTTCTTTTCATTAATTCTTTTGTTATTTTTATAATGTAAGTGAATTGAGCTTATTCTACGTGTATTTCTTCTCTCTATGTTATGTTATGCAATTGTAAAGGGCCACTCACCTTCCGTTCCTGCTGAAGCTATCCAAGAACCATCGGGACTAAATTTAACCGAATTCACATTCGCTATATGTCCTCGATATTTCTTTATACATTCATTATTTCTTATATCCCACAATCGTACACTTGTATCATGACTTCCTGACACCAAATAATCGCCATACGGATGAAAATCAAGACTTCGGACACTCTTCATATGTCCATAAAATGTGGAATTACTCTCGCATTGATTAAGATCCCATTTCTTAATAATTCCATTCTCATCGGCTGAATAAACGAGATCGTCGGAGCATGTAAATCGAACACATTCAATTCGAGAATGGTGACCATCGAGTGACTAGTTTTGTTTGATATAGAAATTACGCAAAAAAAAATAATAATGAATTTATTAATATGTGATTTAGGTGGATCAACACGCCAATCAGATGATTATTTGTAAATTAGTGGCAAAACGGAAAGAAACACTTCCCACGCTCGATTTTAAAGTACGAAATGGAATAAAAAAAACTTCTTCTCTTGTCAATTTTTCTTTCTTTTGTTAAACTTCTCACTGGATCTTAATTCATTCACATATATATGTATGTACGTTCACAAACTGACTGTTTTTTACAACTATATTATTCATACCTGTATAGATTTTTCATTTCCAATAGCAAAAAGATTCACTAATCTGTCGCTGCCTCCAGTCACCAAGACACGACCTGTCTCACCGATATCAAGACATGATACTTTCTGTGAATGTGCTGTTATTTCATCTGGAAATGTTGTTAAATATCACAAAACATTAGTTAAATTTTTTTTTTATTCGCAAGACACAAAAAAAGACTAAATTGGGCCTTGGAAATTTCAGTTTTTTCACTATTTTAGCATTTACAGACGTGACACTCACATAATTTCGTAGGCAATTTTCTTTGCACGGCCATATGTTGATTAATTAAATAGAATATCACAATTTAAACACGCCAAATCATGCGTTTTTAATTTATTTCTTTAATTTCAATTTGAATTTTTTTTGTAGAAAAAAGTAAAGTGTGTGTAACAAATCCTCACATATACATTCACATAAATTGTACAAACACAGTCGCAAATTTTACAGGAAAAAGTGTTTACACGAATTAATGGCTAATTATTGGTTTAATTGATTTCAAAGAAATTAATTTGATAGAGGATGCAAAATTAAGTTTTGTGGTAATTCAACAATTACGAGTGATAAGCGAGCGTGCCAAAAAACGCTGGAGAAAAACACTGAATAACGGTTGAAAACAATTCAAAAAAATTTCAAGCAGTTTACAGCAGCGACTAGTAATATGATAAGCATAATAAGTCTGTCTTTGTTGTTTTTTGAATAACATCATTTATACTGCTTCTTAAAGTAAAAATTACCAGAAGATTTGCTAATTGACGTTGTTTAAACATTGAAAACTAGAAATCTTAATATAAATAATCTCTTAAAAAGCAATTATTAAATAATTCTAGCTGTGCCTGACAACGCACTTTTCTAGTGTACAAGAAAACAAAAAAAATTTTGCGAATTTCATTAAAATTGTTTAAAAATTGTTTTTCTAATTAACTAGACGTTATTAAATTGAAAGGAATAGAATGTCTGGAGGATACGATAGAGCTGTAACTGTTTTCTCACCTGACGGTCATCTCCTTCAAGTAGAATATGCTCAAGAAGCTGTTCACAAAGGCTCAACTGCGGTAAATAATGACAAATCAAAATTTTGTTTGTAAAATTCCTGAAAATAGTTCTTTTAACTACTTTCTGCTGTTAAATCCATAATAATTGAGATGCATTAGTTCAGAGTTGGCGATAATGAAGGCTTTTAACCAGCTATTTCAATTAAAAATCATTAAGTTAACCTCAATGAAATTTTTGCTGGTCATTCAAGGCACAAAGTTGTAAAACAATTAATAAATTGTCAATTTTAGGTCGGCGTAAGAGGCAAAACATCAGTCGTATTGTGCGTTGAGAAGAAATCTGTTGCAAAATTGCAGGAAGATAGAACCGTTCGTAAGATTTGTTTACTTGATAATCATGTAGTTATGGCATTCGCCGGATTAACAGCTGACGCTCGAATTCTCATCAATCGAGCACAGATTGAATGTCAGAGTCATAAATTAAATGTTGAGGATCCAGTAACAATTGAGTACATTACTCGCTATATCGCTCAATTGAAACAAAAATATACTCAATCAAATGGAAGACGCCCATTCGGTTTATCATGCTTAATCGGTGGATTTGATTTAGACGGAACTCCACATTTATTCCAAACAGAACCGTCTGGTATTTATTATGAATGGAAGGCAAATGCAACTGGAAAGTCAGCAAAGACTGTTCGTGAGTTTTTAGAAAAGTTTTATACACCAGAAGCTGTCGAGACAGAAGAAGGTGCTGTAAAATTAGCAATTAAGGCACTACTCGAAGTCGTACAGTCTGGACAAAAGAATCTTGAAGTAGCTATTATGCGCAACGATAAACCAATGCAAATGCTTGATGCTGAAAGTATCGAAAAGTATGTTACAGTTATCGAGGAAGAGAATGCAAAGGAAAAGGCTGCAAAACAGGGACAACAGCAACAATAAGCTATTACGTCTGTGGTATGGTAATTAACAAGCTTTTATGCTTATTATCAATTCATATTCATTTGATGGAATATCATCATAACAAGTATAATTTACATGTAATAAAAGATTTCCTTTTTAATTAACTTATATTGTTATTCATTCTTGAGTATATCAGGTATTACTTGGTGTATAAATTATTAAATAGTAAAATGGGGGTCCTCGATTTGAGTAGGTGTTTTGTTCCAAAAAAATCCTATTCAAATCGAGGACCCATAGTATATCACAATCCAAAAGGACCAAAAAAGTCTCAAACATTACAAATCACACTTAAAGTTCCATTATGGAACTGTATGGAACAGCAATAATTATTAATTAATCTTAAATGTTACTAGACATGGCACCGACCTCATTTTCCAAGAATGTTAAGGCATCATTCGTTTCCTTTGTCGAGATTTTTCCAGGAAAGGTTTTGCAACGACGTTTCTTCTTTGGTGGTGGCTGATTTTCCTTATCTTCATCATCTATAACTTTTGATTGCATCGGTTCCTCATACTTGCGTACTTCTGGAAGTGAACAGACATCAACTATGATATCCTGACTTGCTGGATCATGTTCATTAGGCATTTCAGTATCAACAGGTTGCTCATTAGCTTGATTGATGGCAATTAGTTGCTCTACAGCTTGAGTAACTACAGTTGGTGGATCTATATCCATTGGTTCCTCAACAGAAGTCTGATAAATTGGGAAATAATTACAAAAGACTTTCTTCAATGTGTCAATTTCAACATTTCCATAATAGCCAGCTATTTCATTGTTTTTCGTATATGCAGGTTCCTCGATATTATGATCAACTACATCCTCTGCATACTTTATTAAGTCAATTTTTCTTTGTAAAACGTATTGAAGCTTCAGTCGAGTAAATTCAAGCCTTGAAATCTTAATTTTCTTGGTATTATTCATTCGAATCAGTCGATCAAACAGCTCAATGTAATGAATTGGACTCATGCGTTTAGTGTTCTTCAATTCCTTGATGTTCATATCTATTTCTTCTTTGTAAAAGTCATCAAAAATTATGCTGTTTTTACCAAATTTTGGATGGACGAAAAAATACGAAATTTTATTCCTTGTACTGCATGTTTTTCTAAATTGAAGGACATGAAGAGTCTCGAAGAAATCCATGACTGTCTTTATTGGAAATATAGATGCATTTGATGCTAAATATTCACCCAGCTGCTCTGGATCTACTTCAATTTTTTTTTCAGAAAATTTTATCATATTTCCCTGCGAACAATTTTTAATATCAATTTTTTACCTTAATTACACTATAATTTGATAAACCTTCATACCTCACATGCTAGTTTCTTTAACTTCTTTGGAAATTCAGTGAAATATGCTTTTAAACAGGCATTATTCTCGATTAATTGAATAAAATCCATCTTGGAAGAAAATCACACACAAAACTTTCGCAAATTTAAATGATTGAGATGATGAAACTTAAACGGATTTCAAAGTTTTAAATTTTCTGAATAATCCCTCATATCCCTCAAAAATTAATCGTTATGTTTGAATTTGTAAGGTTCTAATACATTTCTTACTAAACTTCGCAAATACATAGAGAAATGAGAACGCTTCATACTGCTTCACAGTTTAGGAATCATCATACACGTAGAAATATAATTTAACAGACATTGTGCAAAAATTTAAATCACACATATGCTTGGATGAAAGCTTTATGCTTGGGTTTGATAATAGCTCCCTCACTTTATGATCATAGACTTTAGAACTTAAATTTAAATATTGAGATAACTTGTTACCTGAAAAGATAAGTCTTTCTCAGTTTTAGAACTATAAAAGATCATCAAAAATAGTTTGTGAATCATTAAATCATTAGCATCAAGGCTATACATACACACATACAACGATAAAGTGAAAACAACATCAACGAAAAAAATAAATTCAAATTTGAAACAAGAAAACAGTTAAAGACGGCTTCAAAATAAAAACAAATTTTTATCAATTTTAATTAATTAAAATGGCTGGTTTTTTCTCAGGTTATAAGCCTAATCTTAAGAAAGTTCAGAAGCCATGTAAGTTTAATCATCAGTTGAATTTTTAAATCAACGAATACTAATTCATTTTATTTACTTTAAGGCTCGAATTTAAAATTAAGAAAAAAATTAGAAATTGACGAATGCACAGACAATCCTCCATTAAGGAGATCTTCGTTCTTAACAGATGACGACAGTGAAAAAGATTTTCAATCATTAGACATTTCAAATTACTCCACAAATATTGACAACAAAAAAATGGTAACAATTCTTGATGAAGAAAACAAAGAGAATGGTCAAGAAATAGCCGATACAGTGATTGACTCGATGTGTACTCGAGTTAGCGGTATAAATGTTGGATCGTCAAAGCAAGTCATATCCGAAAATGTACAAGTCGCAGACACAATTATTGACTCGATGTGTAGTAGAGTGAGTGGCATAAATGTTGAAACAAATCAAGGATTATCAGAGAGTCTAGATTTTGGTTTGAGCAAAAAGCTATCGGTTCCAGACACTGTGCTAGATTCGCACAACAGTAGCAGAGCATTACAAGAGATTGTAGCTCAATTTCCATCAAGAAGATCTTTATTCCGAACCAGAAAGGACTCTAGCTCATCTGAAGAGTATATAAAAGGCAATAATGTTAGCATAAAAAAATCATTCCGAACTCCAAATCCAAAAATTGCAGATGATAACTCTGACGAAGAAGTCATTCAAGTACTAGACACAGATGAAGAACAGGATGCTGATTTACTTCAGCCTGTTGAACTAAATTCACATGATTCGTACGTCAATTGTTCGTCTACTGCAGCGACATTGGATGATTTCTTCAACAATCCACCTTTATTGCCATCAAATGTCGGTGTGACGCATGCAATGGTTAAGCCATATCAAGGAGACGAGGAAAATGAATTAATCAACACATCGATTCCTTTTGAAGTTGGCTATAAAAATTCAAATATTACATTTAGACAATCACGAAAAATAAGTGAAGTAAGAAAAACCACAAGCTTTCATAACGTTGAGCATGTTGAAATTGGACCAACTGATGAATCTGACGTAGAAAATGATGACATCGTTGATTTAACCCTTGACGAAAGCGGTCCAGAAGCAAAAGCTAATCAAACTAATGGAAAATTGACAGCGTCAAAATCACATCCAATCTCTCTAAACATAGAGACAGACACGCCAGCAAGTTCATGTCCGAAACACAGAAATATTACAAATATCAACATCAAATTTGATCTTAAGATTAGCATAAGAGATGGAAGTGCCTCAGAATGTAGTGAAAATGAAAGTGTTTCATCAGAAATTAGCTCTGTTAAAGGAGATTATTTAAAAGCAATTTCATCTGCACCAAATATTGAGCCAAAATCAACAGAAGTAGAATATAACACTCCAACTCGTAAAAAAGAAGATATGATGGTCATTGATAAAGAACTGCAGTCAATGTTGCACGATCTTTATGGAAATGACTGGAAAACACCACAAGTTATGAACAGTTTCAAGATTAAGAAATTCAGAGAAGAATTAAGAAAATCTCTAGCTACTAGAAATTTTGAATCATTTGTCGGAAATTTAGCAAATGATCTAGAATCAACGAGAATTTCTTCACCGAAAAAAGATACACCAATCAAGAAAAGGTCTGTCGAGAGAAAACCACAACTGTACAGCAACAAAACAGATGAAAGTTTGAAGAAAACTCAATTGAGCACAAATATCAGAACACCAATTAATTCGTTGATTAAAGAAAGAGAAAGTAGCAAGAAAAAAATCGGTAGTACAATCAAGCCGACCCAAACAGTCAACAGACATGTTCCTAAAACACCACTTCATGTTTTATGCGATCCAGACACTGAATCAGAAAATTCGTCGAGTGACCATGATAGTGACGACGATTTCAATCCAGATGACACATGGAATGCAAGTTCAGATGAAGAGTACCAAAGTGAAAAAGATCGTATAAAGAAGCGACAAAGTATTAAGCAAAGTGACATGATCTTTACACTCGATGACTCACTAAACGACATACTGAAAAAGTATGAATTCAAGCCTCAGCCTCAAATAGAAGTGGTTGAAAAACCAGCTCGACGTAAGCTATTCACACATTCGCACTTTGAAGAGAATGAAGAATATGAAACACAGAAAAAAAACTTGCCCAAAACACCATTAAAATCTCAAACAGATCTCAACGTTCTAAGAAAGAAAGATTTTAGGAAAACACCAATTGTACCAGGCAAAGCACTTAAAGTTTTTGGAAGTACACCGAAAGATATTGGAAAATCACCAAAAGTTTCTAATGCATTGATTAAAACACCGTCATTAATTGACAATGCTTTGTCCAAAAAAGAAGCACTTAAAAGATTCTCAAAGTACAGTTTCCTGAAAAGTCTCGATGCAGAAGCAAATAAAGTGCTTTGTGATGCTGACGCTCTCTATTATCGGGAAAATTACAAGACTAAGAAGCATGAATTAGCAGACAAACTATTCAAACTCTACAACGATAAGGTTTTCAATTCTCAACTCTCTGATGTTCCAATTAAATGGAATAAGAAACTACAGACTACAGGTGGACGATGCAACAATTCTCGACGTGCTGGCATTAGAAACTCACTTGTTGAACTAAGTGATAAAGTTTTGACATCTGCTGATCGTCTAAGATGCACACTCATTCACGAAATGTGTCATGCAGCTGCATGGATCATGAGTGGGGAAAATGGACATGGTGCAACATGGAAAAAATGGACATCAAAAGCAAATTCAATATTTCCAGAACTTCCAAAGATAACTGTATGTCACAGTTATGTCATCGAGTACAAATATACTTACTTGTGTACAGACTGTAAAGCAAGATCACAAGCTCATTCAAAGACAAAAAAGGTTGAAGAAGTTCGTTGCTCGTTGTGCAAGGGAAACATTCAATTATTTCAAAATAAAAAAAATAAGGATGGTGTTTTGGAGCTGATTCCAGTTCAACGAAAAGAACCAACAGCATTCGCAAAGTTCGTCAAATTAAAGTTTAAGGAAGTTAAGAAACCAAATATGAGTCACAAGGAAGTTATGCAAATGTTATCAGCTCAGTTTTCAAGTCTTGCCGTCGAAGAAAAAGCGCAACTTTAGAATTAAGAGATTTATATTTTATTGTACAAAAACAGAACAGAATAAAATCTATTTTATATTGAAAAAGTAGACATTTAATTTATTACTTAAACTTACAAGTTCTTACATGCTAATTGTAATTAACTTAATACTATAAGTCTTATCATCGCATATCACTGTTTACTGTCTTTTGAAGTCGATGGCTCTTTTGATTTACTTTTATCCAAGACCATCTCGTCGCGCTTCATATTCTTTACATGAGCTACGTTAATTAAATAAATTCGATATAAAAAGAAGGAAATAATTCAGAATAAATTCTTTAAAAAATTAATCATTTTTGAGGGGTTTTGGATGTTAGGCCTCAAAACTTGATGTGATTATCTTAGTTAAAGCTATTTTAATGAATAAAAGTTTTTGGAGTAACGTGATACTGCCCGGTGTGTACGATGGTCCATATCCATCCTCATCTACTACTATCGATGTTTGGATAATCGCTATTTAATGAAATAAAATTTAATGATACTATAAGTGATGGGAAATTCGAGGCTGATCCTTTTATGATGATGCACACTGAGAAGATGTTAAGTATTTAGTTTAATGTAGCACTAATGAGGAGAAATTAGAGCTAAATTTGGATAGACTTACTCGCCATTTGTTCATTATATAGGCGATTCTTTTGATTGGTTGTGGTGATCAGTAATAAGGATTAATAGTAATCGATGATTTTATCGGCATTAGTAGGAATATATTAATAAATTTTTGAAACCATACAACTTTTAAAAACATTTGTACAGTTTTACGCTTTAAGCTTTTAAAACCATCCAAATTCTAAAGAAAATTTAATAATTTGTAGGGTTTTGGAGCACAAAATTCAGTAAATTTAAAAATCAAAAGATGGTTCTGATTTAAACTGGTTCTGATGTGGTGATCAGTAATAAGGATTAATAGTAATCGATGATTTTATCGGCATTAGTAGGAATATATTAATAAATTTTTGAAACCATACAATTTTTAAAAACATTTGTACGGTTTTACCCTTTAAGCTCTTAAAACCATCCAAATTCTAAAGAAAACTTAATAATTTGTAGGGTTTTGGAGCACAAAATTCAGTAAATTTAAAAATTAAAATATGGTGCTGATTTAAACTTCCACTAATTCACATGTATTGCACGGATTGACCCTTTTTGAAAAGCTTCTCTAATCGATGATAATCAGTTTAAAAATATAAACAACTCTCTTTTTTAACTTGAGAGAAAATGTGCTTTGATGTCGTCAGTAAAAATAAAGGGACACGTGAAATTCATTATTAAAACAAATGCCATAAATAAACTTGATACTTTTTTGTATCGTTAGAGTTCATTAAGAAGATGAAAGCTCAAAGTGAATCATATAAAGCGCATTGACTCAAATAAATTAATTCAATTTAAAAGCCAAAAGAAACCAAATAAAACTTACATAAATGGGAAAATGAAAAGTTCAATCCTTACCTAAATATATCGTCCATAATAATGAAAAGCATGAAGTAAAGAAAACGCGATTTCTTTCGGGAATAAATGCGAAATTAATTGTGCCAATGAGAGGCCATATTGTTATAGCTGTAAAATATGTTGGTGGGAATTTGGCTTTAACTTCCTCAAATGCTTCTGCTGCGTTAAATGTCTCAAGCCAGCACATACTGAAGAAAAATGAGAACATGGCAAGTGGTGTGTAAGATATTTGTTCGACAATTGCCTGGAAAGATAAGCAAAAAGAGTTCACTTGATATGATATGGTGTAATTGGGTACCGTACCTTACCTTGTACATCGCGAGCCGAAGGTTGTTACCTGGGTACATGAATGTGGCTAATTTTACCCAAGCATAAAGTGAGGGAGCTGTTATAAAACATCCATAAAGTCCAAATCTTAAAACTTTCATCCAATCATAATTATCTTCTCGATTTTTGCACAATGTCTGTTGAATAATATTCCCTGTTGGCCAAACGACTAGATATGCAGCCATTCCACGTGTTACTGGATGCTTCCTAAACACTTTCCAGAGTGGCTCACTTCGATTTCTACCAAACATTTTTGTCTTATGTACTGCATTCATTGCATTAAGGAATGACATTTTTGCATTTCCTGAATTCATAGCTCTCGCTGATACTGAGATCCCTGCCATGACTTTATTGAAATGGTTTCCTGACTTGTTGAGTATTTTGATGGACATTAAACTGTCACCTTTGTAAATTTTCTCTTCTTTTTATATCCTTTTTTTGGCACTATTGAACTTTCTTTAAATTTCACTTATTAAAGAAATTTTCTCGCAAACTTAAAAAAAAATTAAGTTTTTTTAACTTTTGCGTTTAGTTTTATTGCTTTGTGGACGATGACTGAATTTTCTCGGCAGATCGCAAAAGCTTTTATGACTGAATAATTTGCATTTCTTGCGCCAAAAATACACCAAGTTCACGAATGTTTTTCCTAATTCTATTCTAATATTAGCGCTGAATGTGCAAATTTGTCTGTAAAGGAAGAATATTGGGGAAATGTGATGCACTTTACGGATTGTATTAATAGTAAATAGAAATCGAATGAGAAGAGAACATTTGAGGATGACGGAAATTGAGAAACGTTCAACTCAATACATTTAATTGTCGCATGCTTTATTTTGTAAGCTAGCTTAATTAAGAAAGAGAGACTTTATGGTGACATTATGAACTTGAATGCTGAACTTGAATTCAAAACAAAAAAAAAACATTTGTATGGCTTTGAATGTTTGTAACGGTAAAATCTGAAAACATTGAAACCATACAACAGTGATTTGAAACATTTATCTTGATCTAATTTAATACATTCAAAACTGTACAACAGTTTTATTAGTAAAACATTTGAACAGTTCCTTTAAAATACACCTTTAAATAAATTTGAATGCATTTTAGTCAACTTTCATCAGTTGTAAATTTACTTCTAGCTTTTTCTCTTCCCTCTAAGTCACATGTGACCTTGAAATTTTAAATTTTTTCATCGCCGTCTCACTCATTCATGAATCTTATTTCTCGTCTACATTTTAGCGATTACGGAAAGGAAATTACACATTTTCTTCCGCTGTTCTTTAATTTGATTAAATAGTCAACCACTTTTTATTTATCTAACATAAATAAATTTACAAGCACATTAAAAACTTAAATATTACCAATATTACTCCTAATATACTAGTACGATTTGTTTAACCATCACAGGTGATTCTTTGGGAACACATCTGATTACTTTTGAAGCTGCAAATCAATTTTTAAACGTTCAACAAACTTGTGTGGATGTTTCTCTTCTTCAACGTGAATTTCATGCAATTTTTCAGTGTCAAGTTGCTTCATATAGGCTAGGAAAATTGTCCAGACAAAAGATCCCAACGCCACAAAAGGAACTCGATTCCTTTCTTTAATAAATGTGAAATTAATAATTTGAAAGAATGGCCAGAAACAGACAGCAACTTCAAATGTTTGGGGAAATTTCTCAACAACTTCCATTCTTGATTCCTTCCATGACTTTCCTTCCATTAAGCTCATAATTGAGAAGAAACAAACACCTGTTGCTGGTCCATAACTAAATTGCTCAGTTACTGCCTTCACAATTCCATTTTTAAGTGTCATCTCAGGCCACATGTGACTTGACAATCGAACCCATCCATAAAGTGTCGGTGCTACAAAAAACGTTCCAAATAGAAAGAATCTCAATGTTTTTTTCCAGTCAAGCTGATCTTTGGCAATAATTTGTTGGACTATTGAACTTGTTGGCCATATCACGCTGTAAACTGCCATTCCTTTTAACAGTGGATGTGCACGAAAAAACTTTGATACAGTGGATATCATTTTTACCTAAAATAGGTGGTGATTAGTGGATGCTTAGGAATTTTGATGATAAATGGAACTAGTTCTGGTGAATTATAAAAATTTATAGAATAATGCGTCAAGTAGTTTGCTTTTTAATGATGCAATTTTGTTTCTAGAACAGCCGTTAAACTGCATTGGAAGCTCCAAAATCAGAATACATATAAGGGGCCGTTCACTCATTACGTTACGCAAAAAACGACTTTTTTCAACCCCCCCCCCCCCCCTTTTATAATATGTTACAACTCACAACCCCCCCCCCCCCCCCCCCTGAACGTTCATAATTTATTTTATTTTGATAATTTTTTATAGGTATTATGATTGTATTTTAAAGTCTTGTAAACCAGTTTTCTATTGATTACAAAACAAAAACTATGTATTGCTTAACTATCAAAAGTGATCTGGACATTAATAAATCATTAAAAAGGTGGAAAATTTAAAAAAATATCTTTGGTGTGAATAGACAGACGACAGTTTGAACGTTACATACTTCTTGACACCCCCCCCCCCCCCCTATGTTACATTTTGTTACAATTTTTCAAAACCCCCCTCCCCCCTAAAATGCGAACGTAATAAGTGAACGGCTCCTAAGTGCAAAATATATGAACTTGTAAGCAGTGACAAAATCATCTCATTTTACAGTTTGTAAATCCTTAATTAAAATTAATTTATCGAGCAATGAACTTGGAATCTTTTTCTTCTAAATTACTCATGTCCTTGACCTACACTAAATGCATTGTTTTTGCGAAATCATATGAGTTGCTACGTATGTCATTTGTCATGATAAAAACAATTGATAGATAATGGATAATAGATTATATGCAGTTCCTAAGCTATCTCTATGCGATTTATCAATAAAATGATCAATTAACCTTGGAAATTAAAATGGGAAATATCAAAATTTACCTTAAATTTGTCTTAGTACGTTGTTGTCAGTTCCTTTAAAATATTTTTTGCTATGTTCACTATCAATATCTTATTATAAATGCATAACTCACTGCTATATGCTGTGTCTTTTAACTATAATTTACTATTTTGCTAAAATTCATTTTTCTAAGAGGCAAATTAGGATATTGGGGAATGAGCTGTTGAGGACATATTCACACATGCTGTAAATGGTATTGTTTATAGACGATACATAATCTTGAATTAGGAGAAATGTGACATGAGTATTTTTCACATTTTGAGGTTTTTTGGGTGTCAACGAGTGAAAAGGAATAAGCAAGTATAGCCAATTCTGCTTGGGGATCTATACAGTTTGCTCATTCAATCCTAGACAGCATAAGACCCAGATGTGGATATGAAAACATTGTGATGTCACAGAAATAGCTGCATACCCATGCTTTAGAAAGCGATCGCGCCAAATTTAATTTTTCCATTTTTTTCCTTCATTTTTGAACAATTTTCATACTTAATTAATTAAATCAGTACTTAAAAAATGCCTTAATTTAATTAAACTCACTTAACGATCGCTGGATATTTGAAAACATGAAGATTTCAAAAAGTATCAAAATGGGTACGCAGGCCTTGGCAGGGAAGAAACTGCGTAAAATGAATGCAGGGTTGGGAATCGTTGAAAAATGCTATAAAAAGAGTGTAAATGTTGTGAATCAGTCCAGTATCGTATAGTCAACCCTGCATTTTATTGTAGACCTTCGAATTGATCAAGACGAAAGGAGTTTTTATAAGTAAATAAATTTAATCAAATTCTAATTTTTAACAGGTAAATATAGCATAAAAACATAATTAAGTTCCTTAATATCGTGGATAATATCAAGTATTTCGGAAATTTAAAAGATTTAGATGTGAATTTTCACTTTGAAAAATTTGCGCTTGAGAAAATTTTCAATTCCATTAATCCGCCATTAAAGTTTCTTTCTTCTCAACTGGATGTACTTAAATGTGCATCATAAGCATTAATTTCATGAAATTAGTCAATTCTAGTCAGAAATATCACGAATTTGAGCGCAAAAAATGTATAAAAATATTAAGTCTGTAAACAAGCATCATTAGGGAAATTCCGGGAATAACGTCACATATACACACACAATAACGGTAAATACGCGCATGATCAAATGTTTCCAGAAATTACGAAATAGAATCAGTCTGATTTGTATACGGGAAAAAATTTGGGATAAAAAGACTAATTTTGGGGTCGGTCCGTAACTTTCAAACGCATCCCACGCATATAATTTTTAATTCCTACAAAAAGAAACGTATCAATGTAGTTGGTTGAGAGGGAGATATTATAGAATAAGAGAGGACAGACAGATGTGTTGTATTGTACTTTCATTTTCTTTTCATACCTTAATTTTTGTTTTCTGTTGTGCCTATCTCTCATTGTAGACAAAAAGGAAGAAAAAAACAAGCATAAACTAAGATGGCACGTACAAAGCAGACAGCTCGTAAATCAACTGGAGGAAAAGCTCCTCGTAAGCAATTGGCCACAAAAGCAGCCCGTAAATCAGCACCATCAACTGGAGGAGTAAAGAAGCCTCATCGTTATCGTCCAGGAACAGTCGCACTTCGTGAGATTCGTCGTTATCAAAAGTCCACAGAATTGTTGATCCGTAAATTGCCATTCCAACGGTTGGTTCGTGAAATTGCACAGGATTTCAAGACAGATTTGCGTTTCCAGTCCGCAGCTATTGGTGCATTACAAGAAGCATCAGAAGCTTACCTTGTCGGCTTATTCGAAGACACCAATTTGTGCGCTATTCACGCAAAACGTGTCACAATTATGCCGAAAGATATTCAACTTGCTCGTCGTATTCGTGGTGAACGTGCTTAAACAGGATGCATCATAAATGATAAGGAAATTAATGCAAAATCTCCTAATTTACTTTTCATACTTTTCATCAAAACTGCGTGTTTAAGTAAAACAATTTAATTAATTTACAATGAAAGGATTAATAAACTTTCGTCTAGATGTTAAGGGTATTCATATAATAATCAGTATAGGACATAATTCTTTTTCCTTATTTCTCTAATATTTTGTTTGTTTGATTGTCTCTCAACATCCACAAGAACTTCAGATTTTTCCTCTTTCAATATTTTAGGCAATAATTTTCTATTTTCTGGATAGTTCAACATGATAAATATGATAATGTAATTCATATAGACATTAAGGAAGAATTTTTTTATTATTCAGTTCCGATACACATTTTTGATCCTTAAATTCAAATTTCATCCAATTTTTTTTTCTCGGAATAAATTAAATTTAATTAATTTAATGATTAGTGGACATAAAAAAAACGGAAGATAAAATAAAAACTTGATAAAAATGGGCAATTCCTCATTCAGCAACAGCCGGCAAATTTTATTGGTTTGTTCCCGTAACAGATTCACAAGATCCAGCAATAGATAATATCCAGCTATTCTGTAATTGCAAATTATTTTAAAATAAAATAGTAAGGAAATAAAATGAGTTAAGGATGCACCCAACAAAAATTAGTAATGTATAAGACGTTTTATTGTATAGATTTTATTTTCAGTGTATTTTGCTTTAAGCACATGTTTAGTGCTGTGACGTCACGCCTTGTTTTTTGTTTTGAAGTCTACGAACTTTCTTGTGATTCATTCTACGAGTTTTTATTTAAAATTATGGACGAATTGGTGGTTTTAGAGCTGTTTTCTGGAATTGGTGGCATGCATTATGCTCTAAAAGGTAACATTAATTGGAATTGATACTTGATCTTCTGGATCTTTCGATTAAACATCCAGAAACTTTTTGAATATCAATTTTAGAAAGTCAAGTACCTGGACAAGTTTTAGCAGCTATAGACATCAATACGAATGCCAATGAAGTCTACAGGCACAATTTTAAGGATTCAAAGTGCATTAACGGAAATATTGTTGGATTAGAAAGCGCACCTTACCAAAAAGTCAACACAATCCTTTGTTCGCCCTCATGTCAACCATTTACAAGGAATGGGAAGCAAAAAGATATTGAAGATAAGAGAAATGATGCATTTATGTCCTTATGTTCGCTGATAAAAAGTGGTAGTTTTAAGAATCTGAAATATCTGCTCATGGAGAATGTTGTTGGATTTGAGACATCCCAAATGCATGACATATTCATTGATGCACTTAGATCCAGTGGATTTTATCATAGGGAATTCATCATATCTCCTCATCAACTTAACATACCTAACACTAGACATCGATATTACTGTTTAGCTAGAAAGGAACACGATTTTTTGTTTGATAGTGAATGTATTGTAAGTAATATTGTATCATTCATGGTTCCTCTTATTTCTTTATATTGTGAAATTAGTGACTAAGTCGTTTTAAAAAATTCAAATGTTTCAAAGCATTAAAAATGTGTTTGAATTTTCTGGAATTGTATGGTTTTGAAAGTAGTTTGAATTCATAAAATTCGTTAAAAATTTATCAACTAATTTATTTTCTTGTTATTTTAGCATAAAACAATCCCCAACAACGATCATTTCCCTCAAAAGCCTCAAGCACTCTCGAACTATGTTAATGCAGACGATTCAGAGGATCTTATTACTTCCTATCTTTCAAAAGAGCTCTTAGAGAAGAGATTTAATATTCTGGACATTCAAACCAACGATTCTTACAACACAATGTGCTTCACAAAATCATATTCAAATTACATTGAAGGAACTGGATCAGTTTATTGTAATTTGACTAGACAAGAACTAGATGACAAAATCGCTGAAATTGAAAAGAATGAAATGGATTTGAGAATGAAGGAGAAATTAAAGCTCAGATTCTTTACACCAACGGAAGTAGCCAGACTTATGAGATTTCCAAAAGACTTTACGTTCCCAACAATCATTAGTCGGAAAAGTCAATATAAATTACTAGGAAATAGCATAAATGTAACCGTTGTTAGTGAGCTTATTAAAGTTTTGTGCAGTTGATCATCAGAGGAAGTAAAAAATAAAAACCTTACAAATTTTATGTTTATCGTTTGTATGGTTCTCAAATTTAAATTATAAATAACCGTTATTTTTTGAATGACAGTTGAAAGGTTTTCACATTCGAATTTTCATTTGCCGTTATTTTTCAAAAAAGTGCCAAACCTTTTTAGTATTGCTTTAAACTCAATTTAAGGTAAAAATCAATAAATTTTAACCACCTGAGCATATTAGCAACAACAAAAAACTCAAAATTCCCTTGAAAGAAAAATTGCGGGTGCTTGTAGCATATTGTACAACAGAAAAACTCATGATAAACTCTTTTCTGTGCCTTGAAATAAAAGGCAACCCTAAAACCACACAGAAAAAATCGTTTAAACCATAAAATTTAATATTACGTTGCCACCTGATTATAAAATTTTTTTCCACATGACACCTTAAAGAATAAAAAAATTTAATTTAATGTGTGAAGGAAAGAACTTCCGTAAACTGAAGAACTATAACTTCATTAAGCTTAATTAAATTTTTATAATAGTTCTATTAAACTTTTAATTAGCTGTAGAAAAAGGGGGATGAAATGAGAGCCTGAAGATATTTAAATGCTGCAAACTTCCGCCCAGGATTCAACAGGAAGAGTTTTTATGTATCCTCTTGATTTTCTTTTTTCAAATTTCCTGTATTTGGCACAGAAAATGTCTCACAGTATCATTAATTAAAGGTCAATTCTGTTCGACATGAAGATGATGAATTATTCAAATTGTCGACTGCTTGTTTATTGTCTTTTTACTTGTTAGGAATGAACGAGTGATGGATGAATTTTATTTCCATTCAGCATCTGTTTTAGTGCCGCATAAATTCATTTAAAAATGCTTTGGAGAAAATTCTTTTAGTTTTGGGTCTTTACAGCAGTTTTCTAAGTACAATTTGCTAAAGATGTCTGTTTGGATCGCAAAATTATGATTAGTTTTATGAATTTTCAACGGGTTTTAAAGATTTAAAAATTAGCGGCTTTATAAAATTTGAATTTTTTTTTCAATATAGTTCAAATATTACAAAACCGTTACAATTCAAATTTCAAAAAGCCGTTAAATCAATATATTTAAACGCTTTTTATATTCATATACAGCAACTTAATTGTTTTAAAAGTAATATGAATCTTTTTTTCAAATTCTCTAATGAACACACAAAAAAATGTACTGAATCGACAATCTAAAACAATAGATGGATAGATAGACAAACCTTTTTGTTATTGCCATGAATTTTGATCACTTATCCTTACATTTAAATGTAAGAGTGGACATTCTTTTTTATCGTACTCATGGTGAGCCAGAGATTTGATGGGTTTTTAACTATTCGTTGATTTATTGCCATTGTTCAGTTCCATCGTGTGTGAAAATCATGACGAGATTTTTTTTTTTATCCTGTCCGGCTCACATACCTGTTTATTAACATTCTCAATTTCGCTTGTTACATTGCAATAAATTTGATATCCTTTTGTATTTTGAATCTTTTATTCTTCGTGGAAAATATTTTTATTGCGAGGTCAACAAGGAAGTAAATGTTTATGAATGGATTTTCGTTCGTTTTTTAAAAATAAATGTCAAAAAAGTGAATTTTTAAACATTTGTATTGTTTTTAAAATTTTCAAAAACAATTCAACAGCTTCGAATTGTTATGAAAACCATACAAATGTTTTAAAATTGAAGTAAACCTTACGTTTTTAATTAATAATTCAAAACCATTCAACAGCTTTCAGAATTGAAACCCTACAAATGTTTCAAAAGCAGCTTAAACGCAGCGTTCTATTAGCTTTAAATTAAATTATATTCACAAGCATAAAAAGTCTGCTAATTTATTTACCAAAAATCTCAAATATGATTAAATAAAGGATTCTGACATAATATACCAAGAATATAATAATCAAGACTCAATTTAACTCAATGAAAATGGCTTGAAGGTGCACATTGCCATCATTGTAAATATTTGATTTAATTTTTATTAAATTTCATTGTTAAATGTATCATATTTTTCCACTTTTGTGTGCTATTGAACCCGGAAGAAAGGATTTTTAAAATATTATGTTGTGTGCAATCGATATGGGGTTAAACTCAGATAGGAAAAACTCTTTATGGTTTTTTTGAGAATGCTACCTACTACAAATCGTGGTAAAGGATTATCTTTCACAAATTAAAAAGAACAAAATGGTTAAAGAAAATAAATTGAGGAAGTAAAAGATCAAGATATTCAGAATCTGATAATTGATTGAACATTACTTCCCCTAAATATACTTTATTTTTATGAAGGCGAGTACACAAAAAATAATATTTTTGATCCATTCATCCATCATATTAATCACATAACATGGCAAAATACATGAAAATTGATGCTGCACGTATTTTTTTACATCATGGGTTCATTTTTTAGAGATTAACTTTTATCGGAGGTAATGGATCTACATGTGGAATAAATTGCAGGCATGATTTAGAAATATGAAATGTGAGTTTATTTTTTTGAGATTCAGGACATATTTAGCAGGAAATGAACTTACTTTAATGTTTGAAAATGAATTATGCAATATGATTTTATGAGTTTCAGTGTTTTTTGATGTGTACACATGCCTCAAACAATGAAGCACACGCTAAGATTGCGTTAATATCAGTAGAATTGGATGAAAATTTAACGGCAAGGAAAAATTTAAAAAGTTCGTTAAAAACTTCAAAAATGATGCGAAAATTTAAAAAAACCGTTAAGAATTTTTCAAGCCAAATTAGATCATTAATAAAACTAGTGCTTTAATTGTCACGGATTTCCATACTTTCCTAAAGCATGCATCTTCAAAATATCCCAAAAAAATCACACGCATTGAAATTCTTCCTGTTTGTAAATCAAAACATGCCCAACATTCCTAATCAATCTTTAAAGATCAATTTTCATCACATAAAAACCCAATCCTTATTAAACATACTCTCATTTCATACGTTTCATAAATCTCATTGTTCAACTGTTTTTTAGGCATGTACAATTCTCAATGAATGATCGTAATACTCACTTTGCACATATACAAAAAAGGTATGAGGAATAATAAGCAAAGTATCAATTAGACAGCAAGAAAAAAAAAGGTTGGACTCGAGTATTTATTTCATGACAATGAGAAACGAGAAACTTTTTGTGCTACTGATTGAATTAAGCGATAAAAAAGCCTTGCTGGTTCCTCGCCTTCATTGCCTTTTATCCTCCTGTTTGCGTTTTATTTCATATTTTAACAGATGAGGAAGAATGAGGATATGCTGGAGTGGACGAATAAAAAGACATTATGAGAATATTTCAATGATGATGAACTTCGAGATGATTTGAAAAAAATTGAAGACACGCTATGAGAATGATTTGAACGTGAAAATCTACTCCATTCCTTCTTCATATGAACAGCAAAATAGGCAAAAAAACGTGCTAAAATAAAATTAAATTGGCTCCTGACCGGAAATGCTTTCCTTTCCTTTCATTCAATTTCAGGAATTCATCAAAAGCTTGATTTACTGAATAAAAAAAAATCTTTGATATGAATTGTTGAACCTACCAATTAGGGATTATTGAACATTCTTTTCATTTCACTTTTTACAGGACAGCAAAAAAATAATTCTGCAATAAAAATGTTTTCACTGGACATAATCTTCTTTTATGGGAGTTGGTTTAAAGTGACATATGAGGGGGGGGGGGGGGGGGTCAGATAGATAGATAGATAGATTGGTTTATTTACCTTAAGGTATTAAAAGTACAAAAGTATTGAGATTTATAATTCTCGACATAAAACAAAAAAATTAAGAAAAACATGATAACAAGCAATGTAAAGAATGTGACTGTGTGGTTGTTAAAAATTTTAACTTAAAATGTAGCCTAAGTGGCTAGATATGAAATATTTTGTAAAAATATGTCTCATGGCACTGTAAATAATCCAGTCAGTGGCATAATCAGAATTATTTAGGAAATCCATATTTTTCTCATTCGCTCATTTTCATATAAAACTTAGAATGGACCGAACTTGATCACTGAAGCTAGCCATTATTTGTGAATGAGCCCCATCTTTATGTGGACTCCGCTGATCCGATTTCAATTGGCAAAAAAAAAATATATTTTTACCCAATAACCATAAATAATTACCCAACTCGTGTGTGCGGATTGTCAGTACTTAAAAGCAATATTTTTTATATGAATAGCGGACAGACAGAGGAATTTAAGGCATAATCGGATTAATCGCGAGAGTAAGGTTCAGGCAGTAAAAAAATTCTCATCTATAAAATGTGAATCACATAAAAAAGAAACTTCTGGACATGTGAAGGAAGTAAGGACACAAAAGAGAGAAAATTTGTTGAAAATCTATTGAATTTAATCCTACGACGATATCAACAAATTGCAATCTTTATTGCACTCAAGTCCCTTTTTTTTATAAAATCTCTCGTCGTATCCACTATCAAGTAATGACATCGCTTGATAATTTTTGAAATAAAATTCCACTTTTATTGTTTTTTAAGGGTTGGTCTGATGGAATTAAATTGCTTTTCGGTATTGAATTTGAGATTTTTTCTTCATTTCTTGCACAGCCAATTTCAGCGATAAGGATCTTTGTGACCATCGCATGAGAACGAATAATATGATATTGAAGGAAGCACAGTGGAGATTTTAAGATTGAGGAACATTTTTTGCTGGATTTATGTGATTAATGAAAGACTATAAAAGATGATTCGAGAGGAAGTAAGCTGTATGTTTAAATATGAAACAGATTTAGATTGGAATTCCTACATTCTTGAGAAGATTGAGCTTCTGGAAGTTAAAACTTGACAAATCTAGAATTTAAAGTTGAATTATGGATACAAAATGCACAATCATGTTCTCATCTTAATTTCAAGGGTATTTAAGACTCTGTACCATTCACTTTTAATTCAAGACATTTTATCATAGCTTCACAAATAAAATGAAAATTCATGAATATATTTTAAGGTCAATAAAATCCTCAATAAGCGTAAAGACAAGAAGAAGTA